ATTCGGAGGAGGCCTAATCTGTGGGATCTAATCGGTCTGTTGGAGGTAATTGGCAGCAGGCGGTCTCTCAAGTACCCAGGTCCAGGTCCAATACCATGAAGGGAATGAGGGAGGCGCCACTGAAATGCCCCTCTGGGACTCCGAGGGAGTCACTGCAAAACTTTCTCTTTTGCTGCCCAGGGTTTATGGAATGGAACGATAAGGCATGCGGGCTTCTACGTCGTTTTGTCTGCAAGTTCCAGCCCCGGCGTGTGGCAAGCAGCGGATGAAGGTTGGAGAAGCAGTGAGACCCCCCCCCCAGCCCCACCCCTGCCTGCCGAAATCTCTGCTCCGCACCCTTGCTTCACATGCTTTGAGGGGCTTGGATCTGATTTTGCTCATTCCGGTGGGCCAGAAGCTTGAATAAATTCTGTCTAGCATAACTGGTATTCTTCATTTTCAAACTCAGGCGCTCACGACCCTTGAGTCTTCTTGTATTGCAAGGGTGGGTATTAAGGGGAGATGACCACCCATTGATGCTACATTGCTTTCTTGCATGTCCACCTCGTTTTAACTGGCGGGCTGAGAATATGCTGGGCTTTGGTACCATCTTGCTGTCCCCCAAAGACAATTGGCACATGATTCCCACTCGGAGCATTAATGCAGCTTCCTGCTAGAAAGAGCGTAGGGGTGAGAAGGTGAGGTGGGTCCCTGAGGGCCGGGCCTGTGCTAAGCTTCTCCGTCAGAGCTGCAAAGATCTAAACCTCCTCTGGGGGGCACCAAAGAGCCTGTGACACCTCTAGCCCTCGGCGCCCTCTAGCAGTCCAAGGCCATAGTGGGAACTCCTTCAGTTCTCCTTCTGCCACATCTGGGGAAAAGGACCTCATTGCTGGGGGATTCTTTTCATCCGGCCTTTGAAAGAGTTGTGGGCCTTCAAGCAAGACCCGGAGGAGATAACAGAGGGGATGTCATGGAGGGCAGGGTCACTCACTTCTCCTTCTGAAGTAGAGGCTCCATTTTGGAAATAGCAGGAAGAAGCCAAGGTAATGCTGGGGAATGATATGGTAGACAAGAAGAAGACGATCAACATGCTTTGTCAAGAAATTGCACAGTTGGTCTCCAAATGAAGTCACAGATGCCAACATGAACTTGCAGTTGTATATAAATCAATATATTCCACACCTGCATTTGCAGCAGACAAGCTAGTCAGACAAACAGGAGAATCCTAAAGTAAATCATCACAACAACATCCTGATGAGGTAAATCAGGGGGGTCAAATTCGTATCCTGTGGGCCAGATGCATCATGTGCTGGCCATGCCCACCCCCATTTTAGCAAAGGGGGAAAAGTGATGACAACGTGTCATCACGAGTTTGATACCTCTGAGGTAAATCATCACAGAAACATTATCATGAGGTAAATCATCACAGGAACATCATCATGAGGTAAAATCATCACAGGAACATCATCATGAGGTAAATTATCACAGGAACATCATCATGAGGTAAATCATCACAGGAACACCATCATCACAGGAACATCATCATGAAGTAAATCATCACAGGAACATCATCATGAGGTAAATCGCAGGGCACACAGAAGAGGAAAAAAGGGAAACTCCCTCTCCACACCCACAAAACCAATCACAGCGCAGATCGCCTCACACAGGAGCTGACACTTTCGAACCAATCAACCTCAAAATGCAAATGTTTCTTTCAACTGACAGCTCTTCGGGATAACAGAAGGATAGGAAGTAATCTAAGATGTATTAGATTATTACTTATAAATATGTGTGTATCCATCATTTCCCTTTCCTTTTTGAAATATACAAACGTTTCAAGAGGGTGCATCTCTTTGCCTCAGGGATGTGTCTCCCACTATTCTTTCAGTTTCTAAACTGTCACAGAATTTGGGCAGCAGGCATCCAAATCAAGTCAGAGATGCTGACACAAACTTGTAGTTTTATATAAATAATTATATTTTACATCTATATTTGTGGCAGACAAGATAGTCAGGCACATCCCTACATCATGAGGTAAATCNTCTTCAAGTTGCCAAGGTTGAGAAACACTGTTCTAATGCATGAATTTAAGTCTGGGCTGGTCAAGAGGTGGTCAACGAAGTCAAGACTTTGGCACAAATACACACAGATAGAGAAGATGTTCCTTCTCTGCTGAGCAAGTGATTTTCTCTGTTGTCGCTTTCTCCCAGAGGACCTGCCAAGAGGCAAAGGAAAATGGCCATCTGGCCTCCATCAAAGACGTGGAAGGGGCAGCGAAGCTGTCCAAGTACCTCCGTGAAAACTCGATACTACACTTTGATGTCTGGATCGGAATGAGGCTTTCAAAGATAGTAGGTCCTTCCGATTGGTTTAGCTTTATCAGTGCTTTTTTTAAAAATCCATTTCTAGGGGGCTGTTTGAAGGGTGGTAGGGAATCCCTCTGCTAAAAGCTTGTTGAGCGATCACGCAGCAGAATAACCTATAGCCCTGGGGGGTTGTTAGCGGTCTCCCACCTAAGAGACAGAGACAGAGAGAGAGAGACAGAGAGAAAGAGATGGAGAGAAACAGAGAGACAGAGAGAGAAAGAGATGCAGAAAGGGACACAGAGAGACAGAGAGAGAGAGAAAGAGAGAAAGAGATGGAGAGAAAAAGATACAGAGAGAGAGACACAGAGAGAGAAAGAGAGAGACACAGAGAGACACAGAGAGAGACACAGAGAGAGAGAGAGAGACAGAGAGACACAGAGAGACACAGAGAGACACAGAGAGACACAGAGAGAAAGAGAGAGAGACAGAGAGAAACAGAGACAGAGACACACATACAGAGAGAATGACCGAGAAAGAGAGAAAAAGACAGAGAGAGACAGAAACAGAGGCGGAGAGAAACAGAGACAGAGAGACAGAGACAGAGACAGAGACAGAGACAGAGAGACAGAGAGAGAGACACAGAAAGAGACAGAGAGAGAAAGAGACACAGAGAGGGACACAGAGAGAGAGAGACAGAGAGAGAAAGAAAGAGAGAATGATGTAGAGAAACAGAGAGACAGAGAGAGAGAGAGAGAGAGACAGAGACAGAGAGAGACAACACAGAGAGAGATAGAGACAGAGAGAAAAAGACAGAGAGAGACAGAGAGAAAGAGAAAGAGAGAAAGAGATGGAGAGAAACAGAGAGACAGAGAGACAGAGAGAGACAGAGAGGAGGGAGAGAGAGAGAGACAGAGAGAAACAGGGACAGACACACACACACACAGATAGAGACAGAGAGAAAAAGACAGAGAGAGACAGAGACAGAGAGAAACATAGAGAGACAGACACAGACACACACACACACACACACACACACACAAAGAAAGAGGCACAGAGAGAGACAGAGAGAAAGAGAAAGAGAGAAAGAGATGGAGAGAAACAGAGAGACAGAGAGACAGAGAGAGACAGAGAGGAGGGAGAGAGAGAGAGACAGAGAGAAACAGGGACAGACACACACACACACAGATAGAGACAGAGAGAAAAAGACAGAGAGAGACAGAGACAGAGAGAAACATAGAGAGACAGACACAGACACACACACACACACACACACAGACAAAGAAAGAGGCACAGAGAGAGACAGAGAGAGAGACAGAAAGATGGTCTATTTGGTTTATAAAGAATAAGAGAGTTGGAAGGGACCCCGGAGGTCTTCTAGTCTGCCCCTTGAAAGGTGCCAACCTTTTTCTCTCTGTCCCTGGGCCCCGTATCGCCAGAGCCCCTTCCTCAGTTGGCTAACGTCCTTTCCCTTTCATTGCAGAACAATAAATGGGAGTGGAGTGATGGCTCCAATGTCACCTACGTATCCTGGGAAAAAGGACAACCGGACAACTTTTTGAAACTGGAGTTCTGTGCTGTGGTGACAGGAAACTCACGTAAGTCGACCGGTTGGGGGCAACTGAGGGTGCAATGCCAATAATAAAACCCCATCT